AAACAGGTAGTCATATTCTCGCCATTAATTTATTTTTTGCTTTGAATCCAAACATACATACACACGCGCGCGCGCGCGTATATATATATATATATATAACATTAATCCTATGCTTGTGACTGAAGTATTTCCTTAAACGAACCACCCACTTTTTTTCCACTCAGAAAAAGATTAAAAGATTGTCTTTGCCATAAACTGCATGCTTTAAAAGCTTCGCTTAACAAATCCTCCACGTGGCAAATCATGTTTATAATATATTCATCTTTATATATATATATATATAAGTCAATGTATTATATTTTTTATTTAAACTATAAGTTATATAAATATTTAATGGAACAACATTACGATAATAATGGACCATCCAAATCTTAAGTGAGATTTACCAAAAACTGACATTTGCGTGCAAAAAGAATAAATTAATTTTTCTGTTACACGATTAGATATATTATAATATCCCTCATCAACAAGTTAATTTATTATTATTGTTTTTTAAAATCAATAATACTACTTGTCTAAGGATTAAAATTTATATTTTATTTAAAAATTACATATTTAATTTAATAAAATTAAGTACTTAACATATTAATTTGTTGGTGAATTTGCAATAACTAAATTAAATTAAAGTCTAAATTGAATTTATTATATTTATGAGACTAAAGACTTAAATATTTATAATTATTTTTAAAAAAATTTAAATATAATCAAACTAGATATAATGCGCTTAACTTTAGCATTATATAATATATATATATATATGTATGTATCTATATTATCCATGATGATTATCTATTATTTTATTTTGACCATTTTGTATTAATTATTTAAATGCGTGAATAATATACTTTTAATTTCTTACTTAAAAGTCAAAATAACAATAAACAAGTGTTTGGTATCATTGTCATTTTGATTTCTATAACATATAAGAATTTATCTTTACTAACTCAAAGAAATACTTTTCAAATTTATGAATTTTCATCATGATATGATATTTTACCTAAAATTTTTGAAGAATTATTTGAGAAAAAAAATAAAATCTTATACTTTTCAATTTTGCATTTTGTAACTTTCATGAATTGATATATATATATATATATATATATATATATATATGTGTGTTTTTGCACGTGTATGATTATTTTATAAGGAATATATAAAATCTATGAGACAATTATTTTAAAATATATTTTGCATAACAATTTTTTTATATAAAAAAGAATGATTTACGAACTGATATTACTTAAGATGAAGAATCTAAAATTTATATGCAAAAAACATACCTAATACATATTTTTATAATAATAATAATGATTAACAAGAATAAATTTATTGGTAAGTGTCACAAAATCTTGTCATTTAATATTTTTGTTATTGAGATTATTTTTATATAATAAAATAATATATATTTTAAATTTCCTAAATCAGGATTTGAAATTTTTTGGTCGAAATCATGAAGAAGTTTCTTAAACCATAAAGAGAATTAAGTTTAAGTGGCAAACCTGGTTTGACTGTATACTAAATTTTCAGGCGAATTTTTTTTAAAAGAAAAATATGATATTGTCCCAAAAAGTGAAATTCGTAAATTACTTTAGCTAAAGTATTATTGTTCAGTTAATAAATTATTAAT